CCCGGCCGGCCCGCAGCCCGCGCCTCGTCCCTCAGCGCCCGGCCCGCGCTCACCGCCTTCTCCAGGTGGCTGCGCGCCTGCTCGCTGTTCTTGGTGTGGTGATAAAGCACCGAGCCGAGCTGCAGGTGCGTCCGGGCCTCGATGCGCTGCGGCGGCTTGAAGGGGAACACGGCCTGGAGGCAGTGCACGCACAGGCGAATCTTGGGCGGACTGGAAGTCCGGAACGCCGCCTGAGCCGCCGCCGCCGCCTGAGCCGCCATTTTGGCCTCCACAACAACAAGCCGCCGCCACAGGGAGGCGGAAGCAGGCGAAAGGGGGCGGGGCCAGGCGCGCCTCACGCCTCTCGCGAGAGTGACCGCACAAAGCACCATGGAACATGGAGTTCGCGTTGGGGGAGAGCCGAGGCTCCAGGAACGTGTGAGAGAAGACGTCGCCCTCGGGTTAACCCGGACCGAGGTTTAGATATCGTCGCGACACGGAAGCTTGCGTTTTTTGGAAGGACGATCCGAGGTGTCCACGCCGCGGCAGGGCGTGATTACAAGCGCGGACTACATCTCCCATCAGGCCATGCGCACTATATCAGGTCTCCTCAGGTGGCGCCGGAGCATTGTGGGATTGGATGAGTCTCAAGATGGACAACCGGGATGTTGCAGGTAACAGCCCCCGCCTCCCTTCAAGCGCCCGCCTGGGTCCTCCGGACTCTGTGTAGCCGGTTCTCCTTCCCGTTGGTCCAGCTCCGACCCGTGAACCCCTCGCCTCGGCTTCTGGGCAGCCCAAAGCCACGGCTTCAGCACCTCCCTCATCTCCGGAGACCCCAGACCCAGTTGTCCCCCGCCCCCGCCTGGTGTGCTCAGGACGCCTCTTTTTCCGTTCTTAAAGGCCGCCACCCAGCTCGGCCCTTGCACCTGCTTTCCCCGACCTAACCTCTTTCAGGGCTGCCATGAGGCTGCTCCCCGAAACAGCAGCCACGTTGGGCAACCCTGTGCCCCTCGCCTCTCCGTAGCAGCTGCCATCCGTCCTGTGTCCCCGCTTTCTGGAAAGGCTGCTTTCCCGAAACTGCCCCGGGGATGCCTTTTGCACACTTTCCCGCGTCTTCAGAACCCCACTTTCTCACCACCTTTGCCCTGACTACTCTCTCATAATAGGATGCATTCATCCATTGAGCAGCTACTGGGGGTGTGTTCCCTGTAAGCCGGGCACTGTGCAAGGTGCTGGGGCTGCAGCGGTGACCAGAACAGCGCTTTGCGTCCCCGAAGGTTACTTTCTACTGGGGTGTCGGGCAGTGTGCCATCCAGCAAATATTTACAAAGAGCGAGTGGTGATGATGCCACGTGGGGCGTAGGGGGCGTGGACAGCATATGCAAAGGCCCTGGGGTGGCCTGGGTTTGTCGTTTTGAAGAATGTCAAAAGATGAAGCAGAAATGGAGAAGGGAGTTATCTTTGGTAGTGCTTTAAAAATGGACTTTCAAGTGTTTGGATTTTTTTTTTTTTTTAAAGAGGTGTTTGCTATTGGATGCATGCACCTGCCGGAACTCAAACTGCAGTCGACTACTTGGGAGTCCAGCGATGTAGCCATTAAACCGTCTGCTGGTTGCTAAATGTCCTCTTTTCTTTTTTTTTTTTTCTTTTTTTGGAGAGGTTTTTTTTTTTTTTGCTATAGGGCGCGTGCACTCGCCAGACAGAGACAGAGAGACAGAAAGTGAAAAATCACCCCCCAGGGGGGATGGTCACGCCGCAATCCCTTCTCCTCCATTCTCCTCTCGGGATCTTGGGCACACACGCACACGCGCCCGGTGTGAGTTTAAGCCACCGGGTCCAGGACTTGAACCGCGGTCGACTATGTGGGAGTCCAGCGACATAACCATTACGCTAACTGCTGGTCCCATAAATGTCCTCTTTTCTAATGGTTATGTTCTGGCTAACCTACCTGTGCTATGGATGTCTAACACGTTCAGGAAGGGGCTGGATGGTGGTGCAGCAGTAAAATGCGATATTCTGTGACACTGACCCACATGGGAAGATTCTAGGTTCGCATCTGGAGTTCTCCCTGAATAGTGTAGGCATGGGCATGACCATGATGTGGGACTCACAGGAGCTGGGGATAGATCATATTCTCAAGACCCTGTCGGGGATGCTGTTGCTTTGCTTTTCTCTGTTTCTCTTCTTTGTGGGAGAAATAAATACACAAGCTTTTTAAAAGAGTTCGTGGAAGATGATTATTAAAAAATTGGACTAGGAAATGGCGCAGTGGTTATGTAGCTGGACACCCATGTAGTTGACCGCGGTTTGAGTCCTGGACCCGGTGGCTTAAACTCACGCTGGGTGCATGTATGTAAGCATTCAAGATCCCAAGAGGAGAATGGAGAAGGGTTTGTGGCATGGCCATCCCCTCGGGGGCTGATTTCTGGCTTTCTGTCAATCTGTTTCTCTCTATTTTTCTGGTGAGCATACATGTCCTATAGCAAAAACCTTTCTCTCTCTCTTTTATTTTTTGGAGAGGCCTTTTTTTGCTATAGGGCACGTGTGCTAACCAGAAAGACAGAGAGAGAGAGAGAGAGAGAAAATGAGAAATCACCCCCTCCCCCCCAGGGGGATGGCCAGGGCGCAATCCCTTCTCCTCCATTCTCCTCTCAGGATCTTGCGGCACGTATGCACACACGCCCGGCGTGAGTTTAAGCCACCGGGTCGAGGACTCCAACCGAGGTCAACTACATGGGAGTCCAGCGACATAGCCATTAGGCTAGCTGCTGGTCCTGCAAAAACCTTTCTTAAAAAAGAAAAGAAAAAACTGGGCCAGGTGGTGGTGTGATGATTAAAGTGGCTGGATCCCACATAGCCAACTGCACACAGTTCGAGCCCTGGACTTGATGGCTTGAAACACATACCAGGTGCATGTGTGCATAAATCCCAAAAGGAGAAATGGAGGAGAAGGGTTGTGACATGCCATCCACTCTGGGGGTATGCTTTCTCTCTCTCTCTCCCCTTCCTCGGTGAGCGCTGAGCGCCTTTGCACCCTGTACCAAAATAAAAGAAAAATCTATGAATGGAGTTCAAGCCTTTTAGCATCCAAATAAGCTTTCACTTTAATTTCAGTGTCCCGTGAACTTTCTCAAGTTTCCTCCTTTAGGTACTCCTTGTTACTGTTAATCTTTCTCATTGTTTTCTGGTTGTCAGCAAAGTTCTCATAAAGATTTACAGTTACTGGGACCGGCAGTTAGCATAATGGCTATGTTGTTGGACTCTCATGTAGTCAATCACAGTTTGAGTCCCAGGCCCGGTGGCTAAAACTCATGCCGGGCGTGTGTGCGTGGGTGCCCAAGATCCTGAGAGGAGCATGGAGGAGAAGGGATTGTGGTGTGGCCATCCAGACTGGGGGGTGATTTCTCACTTTCTGTCTCTCTGTCTCTCTCTGTGTGTCTGGGGAATGCATGCACCCTATAGCACAAACCTCTCCAAAAATAAAAAAATAAAAAAGACACATGTGGGGGGACTAGCAGGTTGCGTAATGGACTCCCATGTAGTTGACCACAGTTTGAGTCCCGGACCCGGTGGCTTAAACTCATGCCGGGCGCATATGCATGTGTGCCCAAAATCCTCAGAGGAGAATGGCCATCCCCACCGGGGGGGTGATTTCTTGCTTTCTGTCTCTCTTTTTCTGTCTGGCGAACACACACACTCTGTAGCCAAAACCTCTCCAAAAAACAAAAAAACAAAAAGAAGATATGTGTACACTCACCAGAAAGAGAGTACAAGGAGAAAGCATCCTTACAGAGAATGACCACACTACAATCCCTTCTCATCTATCTCTGCACTCTGTCAGGATTTGGGGCATGTACCCATGTGCCCAGCATGCATCTCAAGTCTAAGTCTGGGACTATGTGGTTGCCACGTGAGATCTGGCTGCCTTAACCACAAGACCACAGAGCCACCCCCAGTGATTTATTATTATTATTATTACATGCCGCAATCCCTTCTCCTCCATTCTCCTCTCAGGATCTTAAGCATGCAAGTGCACGTGCCCAGCGTGAGTTTAAGCCACCGGGTCCGGGACTCGAACCGTGGTCGACTACGTGGGAGTCCAGCGACATAGCCATTACACTAACTGCTGGTTCCTTCCCCAGTGACTTTTAAAAATAAAGTTTATGCATTTATTTCATTGATTGAGGAAGACTCATACCCCCAACAGTGTCTTGACACCGTGATCCACCCCAAGCCAGCCCCATACCATGGGTATATGTGTACACAACAAGCTTAGAAGAACCCAGAACCTTCACACATGGCTCAGCCTCACAGAACACTGTGTTTTGTTTTGTTTTGTTTTGGAGACGTTTATTCACTACAGGGCGTGTGGGCTCACCAGAAAGACAGAGACAGAGAGACAGAAAACGAGAAATCACCCCCCGGGGGGATGACCACACTGCAATTCCTTCTCCTCCATTCTCCTCTCGGGATCTTGGGCACGCACACACATGCCTGGCATGAGTTTTAAGCCACCGGGTCCAGGACACGAACTATGGTCGACTACATGGGAGTCCAGTGACATAGCCATTATGCTAACTACTAGTCCCAGCTTTTTAAAATAATTAAAAAATTTTATTTATCATTATTATTTTTTTGGAGAGGTTTTTGCTATAGGGCGCGTGCGCTCACCAGACAGACAGACAGAGACAGAAAGCGAGAAATCACCCCCTGGGGGGATGGCCACGCTGCAATCCCTTCTCCATTCTCCTCTCGGGATCTTGGGCGCACACGTGCATGGCGTGAGTTTAAGCCACCGGGTCCGGGACTTGAACCATAGTCAGCTACGTGGGAGTCCAGCGACATAGCCATTATGCCAGCTGCTTGTCCCCAGAGCACTGCATTTTACCACTGCACCACCTGCAGGTCGCAGCCAAGATGACGACTGATGTGCTGCTTTTCCCTCTGCAGGAAAAGCTAACCGGTGGTTTGGGGTTGCTACCCCAAAGTCTGGAAAAATGAACATGAACATCCTTCACCAGGAAGAGCTCATCGCTCAGAAGAAACGGGAAATCGAAGCCAAAATGGAGCAGAAAGCCAAGCAGAATCAGGTGGCCAGCCCTCACCCCCCACATCCTGGCGAGTAAGTGCCCCCCCCCAGGTCCTGAGGGGGTCACTAGCGGAGGGTTTTGCTCGTGAGAGCAGTCAGCGATTGTCCCTGGGCAGTGCCTGATGGGCTACAGAATAGAAGACGTGCTTTTGCGAGGCTCCGTGTGACAGGAGAGAAGTGAGGGGGGGAGTGCTAAGCTAGAGGGTAGCTACCTCGCTCATTCACTGCAAGGTTTTTTTTTTGTTTGTTTTTTTCCTGTGCACTTGTGGGTGGGAGAGAGACAGAGAGGCAAAGTGAGAAATCAGCCCCAGTGGCTGAGATTTTTTTTTTTTTTTGAGATGTTTTTGCTATAGGACATGTGTACTCGCCAGAAAGACAGAGAGAGAGACAGAGAGACAGAAAGCGAGAAATCACCCCCCAGGGGGGATGGCCACACCA